TATAATTCTTTAAATTTTTTTACAATTTTTTTGAATTTTTTTAAATTTGTAAAAAAGTTTTTAGAATTTTCTGAAATTTTAAATTTTTTTTGTTATTTTGAATTTTCTAAAAGTGATTTGAAATTATTTTAAAATTTTTGAAGAATATTTAGAATTTTTAAAATATTTTATAGATTTTTTTAATTTCTATAATATTTTTAAATTTTTAAATTTTTTTTTGAAATGTTTAAAAATGTTTTGGATTTTTTTAAAAAAAATTTATAATTTTATAATTTTTTAGATTTTTTTTTAATTTTAAAAATTTTTTGTATTATCTAAAAATTTTTTAAAAATTATTTTAGACTTTTTGAAAAATGTTTAGAATTTTTTAAAATTATTTTGAATTTTTTAGATTTAAAAAAAAAAAACTTTTTAACTTTTTTATAATTTTTCAAAAAAATTCCTTTTAATAATAATATGGCACTGATTGGATTTTGACACGTTTTAGCATATTATTGAATATTCATGTTAAGTTAGCAAAATTAACTAACGACGTTAGTATGATGTACCAATGTAATAATAGATTGAAAGTTCATATATCAATGTGTTAGTATAATTCTTTATATACTAATATGAAAGAAAATATAAAGTTTAGGGGTCAAATATGTATTTAACCTAAAAAAAATTATACAATTTTTGACAATGCGTTCATCACAACGATTTTTTATTCCAAAAGATATTCTTTTTCGAATATAATTAATTTATCACTTATTTATTAAGGATAAAGCGTGATTCAACCACTAAACTTTTCCATAAGCACTTAAGTCACTCAACTTTTATTTGGTTTAATCAGGTATTACAAATATTGAAAAGAGTTGATGAATTAAACTCAAATTCAAAAATTCACTTAATTCGTATGACTAAAAATTCAATCAAATCTAATTTAATCAAGAAATTTCAATAACTCAAACTCTAATTAATATACAAATAACATAACCCCTTACGGTCAAAAAAATTAATTAACTTAAAATTAAATTGATTTAATTTTAAAATTTAACAATTTGAACTCGAAATTATTTATATTTTTTAATTGAAAGACATAACTTTATAGCAATATATTCATTTCAGAGTTTCTAAATGCAACGAGCTCTTCATCTTTTGGAGCCATGGAGATTTAATTATAGCCAGTTAACATATCTATAAAAGCTAGAGCCTTGTGTTAGTCGTAGCATCAACCATCATCTCTGTAAAAGGGAAAGGAAAATCATCATTTGGATGGGCATTATTCAAGTCTAAAAAGTCATAAAGATTCGGATTTGACAATTCTTCGTTCTAATTGGAACAATATTTAAGATCTAAGTCGGTTCACTTCTCTAATAAAACCAACTTCAATGAGCTTATTCACCTCAATCCTAATTTGGGAAATCAAGTCAAGATGAAACCAACATTGAGCTTGCTTAATAGGTTGGACACCAATCGTTACAGCCAAATGGTGCACAACCACTTTCCAATCGAGTCCTGACATCTTGTAAGTCTAAGTGAAAATATCTCGATACTCAATCAAAGATCAAGATAAGTTTTCTCCTCTTATAAAGGCAAACAAGCATTAATAAAGATTGGATAAGGATCTCCACTAGTGTTGATAGTAGCCTTTTTTAACTCATTAATAGTAGCTTGATTTCCTTCTTTAAATAATAGAAGAGCCTATTGAGCATCTTTTTGTTGGAATTTTCCATCATCAACTTCTTCTATGAATGCATGATTAAAAGTAAGGATTTTTGTCTCTTCAAAATTTCTTCCCCTGAAGATGGAATGTGTTTGGTTATAACTACCATGTGCTTTTTAGCCATCAATGTTTTGCTAGTAGTTACTACTCATTTGTTTTGTCTTTTCACTTGAGAAGGAATTTTTGCTATAAAAATCATTTGATTCATCTGCTATGGAGCTTTTCTTTTCCGGCTATGAGCAACTTTTTTTTTTTTTTTTAAATTTGGATTTCTAAGCTTTGAATGAACTGTAACATGTTTACTCATAGGAGCTTCAATGCATTTTTCTCCTATACGTTCAAAAACTAACCATCAAGACGAAGACGTAGTCAAATGATGGCCTTACACTGAACTTCACATCGAATAACAATCAAATATTAAAGATCTAGGTGGCTCTATTTAATTTGCTTGCTATTCCAGAACTTCTTCCACATTTATATATATTGAAGTTTTTCTTTAGGAATTTTCAATTTCAAAGGAGAAAATCCAAGACTAGTCTTAAAGGTTCCAACATTATCAGTTTTCTTTTGCTAGGCCTGGCAGATCTTAATTGAAATTTTGTGGTTTTCTTTAATTGGTTAATCTATCTAGTGAACTAATTTTGTAATATCCTCTTGCTTGTATCCAGCCCTAACAAGTAATCTGTAGGCATTAACTAGGATCAAAACTTTGATTTCGATACGAAGATGTGTTAGCATGTTCGACAAGAAGTCTTTATGATGGCTTTACACACTCTTTCGATAGAGGTATAATAAGAACCTTTAATTTTACAAAATCACTTTCTAAATAAAACTTCGCATCAACGAAATGTGCTTCCATCGTAGTAAATGGCTTAGAATCTATAACTTTCTTCAAGAGCTTTTGTCTTTTTTTCTAATGACATGAGTAAACGAGAACGTTAATGCTTCAATTTTCTGAGCTTGATTCATGAGATTTTAGAGACGCTTTAAATCTTCGAAATCTTCTGCTTCTTCTACAAATGTAACTTACGTCAAATTATCTGGAGGAGCACCGTATTTACAGTGCAAGTCCGCTAGGTGAAATAGAGTTTTAAAAGAACTTAAACTATTCAACTTTATCCCTTAATTATTTTAATTCAATTAGAGATAAAATTTGATGACTTATCTAGTGAAATTTAATTGGATAACCAATTAATCTTTGAAATTTGATTAATTGAAATTTTGATTTATCTCTAAATCATTTTAATTTAATTTAAAAATAAATTCAAATAACTTAAACAACTCATAGATGAATTTTGATAGGTCAAACTATATTAGCTTTTGAATTTTGATTGACCAAGTCAAATGTATTTATTTTCAATTACAAAATGATATTTAATTAACCATTTAGTAATTAATTATATGATTGGCTTCAATGATGTCATCAAACACACGTGGGGATAAACAATTTGCTACTTGAAAATTATTCAGTTATTTAATTAGAAAAAAAAAAAACCAATAGACATATGATAATTCGTAATTGTATATAATTTTCTCCTTCTACATCTAGTATTTAGGATTATCTTAAGATATTCATATAATTATCCTTATCTTATTTAAGGCTATTTATTAAGAGATATTAATTATTTAATTTTGTTGCTATCATTCACAATTTGACGATATTATATAAGACCATTTCATAAGTATTAGTATTAGATAAGTTTAATCTAATAATAATTTCAATTGTTGAGCTTTCTTTAAAAAAAAAAAAAAAAAACTCTTTGTATTTCTTTATCTATTAATTTGGTACACATCAATACTGAGGCTTAGCTTGACTTACAACGAGTCTTGAACAAGTTTTTCAAGCCCAAACTCCAAGCAATTTAAGATATTATTTTATGAATTATTAACAAAATATTTGTATATAAATTATTTAAATAAATGGATGGAGGATAAGCCTACGGATGTAAAGGAAAAAGTGTTTGATGAATTGTTCATTACCATATTAAATTTTTATTTGTTTGAATATATTTATTTAAATTCATTTAATTATGATTAATTTATTATTCATAAATATATTAATTTAATATTTATAAATAAATTTATTTAATTGAATTAAACTAAATATAAATTAACAAATACTCTATCATTTAATCGAACCAAACTCCAGCAAACAAAATAATAATTCATTTACAGCTCTACTTGATCCTCAAACTCAAACTCCCTGCCTAATAATCATGCCCTCGTGCCATTGAGCCAAGTGATCTTTTAAGTAAAGTTGTGTTTAAAATTTTATATAATCATTTTTAATATTTTAGCATTAAAAGTCTATATTGTGAAAACCCGATCTCTCGGGTTTAATTATTAAAATTTAAATTATGATTATTTCAAATAAGAAACCTCAATTCTTTAATTTTTTGGGGGTGAAGAGGGGGCCTTTTGTTTTTTTTATTATATTTATAATTAAATATTATAGTTATATAATTTACTAAATAATTAACTAATAAATTATAATTTAACAAATAATTAAACTCTATAAATTTTGAATTTAGATCTTCCGAGAATGTAAAAGACTAGTTATTGGAACTCCAACTAAACCGACCTTTCCAATTTCCCCCCGTCTCTGACTCCCTCCCTCTTACTGTTGGAACACCAAAGGCCAAAACTTTCATTTTGGATGCAATGGCAACATTAATGAATAATGAAAAGCTTCGCCCTGCTTCCTCTCTGCCTTTCCGTGTCGCTTTCTCTTTTCTCACTCTGAATCAACCTTTTCCTTTCCTCTCTCTTTCTCTGCCTCGCCGCCATCAGCAAAGTCTCTTCTTTTTCCAATTTCCCTTTCTTTCTCTGCTATAAAATCTCGAGCACTTACATCACTACTATAAATACTCCTGCATATATTTTTTATAGGAAGCCTAACCTACAACAAAGCAACAAACCCCCCCCCCCCTACTCCTAAACTACTCCTTTCTTTTCTTTTGCCTGCTTTTGACTCTTAGGTGTTTGCACACTTCTTCTATTTAATGTCTCCTATCCTCTTAAAGACTTTGCTTCTTGTTCCCTATTTCTCATATTTCACTGTTGAGTGTTATCAAGCAAAGACAAGGCCAAAGAGGAGTTTGTTTTTATCTGCTTTTTCTTTGATTTCTTGCTATTCTTTAAGTTCTTGATCATATAAGACATATTGAAAAATAGAGACTTGGGTATCCTGGCCATTTCTGTTCTAGTCTCTGAACTTGAATGAAGAAAAGAAACTCGGGGCTTGTTGGACTTTTACTGTTTGATTAAATCACTCCCTTGGAGATTATATGCCATTTTAGAAATCTTTTTGTTGCAAAACCATTTCTTTGGTGACACTCATGGCAGAAAAGGACACAGATTTCTCATCCCACAAAGTACCCTCTGCTTCCCAGGTAAGCCTTCAGAAACGGTTTATAGTTTTATCTTTTATTTATTGGTTTCTCTAATCATGTTGACATTGATAAATATATATTGCAGGTTCTTGACGAGCTGAAAGAGCTATGGGGTATGGCTTTGCCTATAACAGCCATGAACTGGCTAGTCTTTGTTAGAGCAGTGGTTTCAGTGCTGTTCTTAGGCAGACTTGGCAGCCTTGAGCTAGCCGGAGGAGCTCTCTCCATAGGGTTTACCAACATCACTGGCTACTCTGTTCTTGTTGGTCTTGCCTCAGGGCTTGAACCAGTGTGTAGCCAAGCCTATGGGAGCAAGAACTGGGAGTTACTCTGCCTCTCTCTCCAACGCATGATCATCATATTATTTCTTGCAATCATACCAATCAGCCTGTTATGGGTGAATCTGGAGAGCATTATGGTGTTCATGGGACAAGACAAAGATATCACAGCAATGGCAGCAACTTATTGTTTGTATTCTCTACCGGATCTTTTAACAAACACTTTGTTACAGCCATTGAGGGTTTTTTTAAGGTCACAGCGGGTGACAAAGCCGATGATGTGGTGTTCTTTGGTTGCTGTGATGTTCCACGTGCCTCTTAACTATGTTTTGGTGATGGTGTTGGGGCTGGGAGTACCTGGTGTGGCAATGGCATCTGTGGTTACAAACTTGAACATGGTGGTTCTGATGGTGGCGTATGTGAGGATAAGTGGACGGTGGGAAATGAGATGGACGACTGAGATTGGAGGGGTGTGTGGCGGGCTGGTCCCACTCTTGAGATTGGCAGTGCCCAGTTGTCTTGGGATTTGCTTGGAATGGTGGTGGTATGAGATAGTGACTGTGATGGCTGGTTACCTGCCGAACCCCACACTCGCTGTGGCTGCCACTGGGATCCTGATTCAGACCACCAGCATGATGTACACTGTCCCCATGGCTCTTGCTGGCTGTGTCTCTGCCCGAGTAAGCTCCACTCCCACTATGCCATGACTCTATTGCTTATTCATTTTTTAACAAGTAAAAGGACCATTAATGGAATGGCTTATGCTATAAAGAAAAAAAAATCAAATCATTTACTATAATCTTTTTCTCCTTTTAGTTAGTTGATATATCTGATTAAACAATGGTTTGTTTTGATGCCTAAACTCGAATCTTAGATCTCCTATCTTTCAACAAGAAAAAAAAGATATGATCATGTTATGCCAATTTAATATCATTGGAAAAGTATAAATGGTTATGAACAGAACGGGGGAAAATGATCATTCAATCTCAATTTGATATAATTGGTGATTGCATCTCCTTTTAAAGGACTTATTACGTAGGTCAGACTCATACATGTAATGTGATTGGACAGAATTAGTAAAAGACAAGCAAGAAGTTGTTTTACTTTGTAATCGAAGCTCACATTCAATTGGTGTGTGACGATTGACGAAACAATATGGCCAACAAAAGTGAACTAAATGGCATTTTGTCTTTGCCTTAGCAATATATCCCATACGCATCTTTTGTGCAAAAATATGCAGGTAGGGAATGAGCTTGGAGCCGGTAAACCTTACAAGGCCAAGCTAGCAGCCATGGTAGCATTAGGCTGTGCCTTAGTGATTGGTATAATCAACGTGGCTTGGACGGTGATCCTTAGGGAAAGATGGGCTGGTTTATTCACGAAGGATGATCTCGTCAAACCATTGGTTGCAACAGTATTGCCAATCATAGGGCTGTGTGAGCTAGGTAACTGTCCACAAACGACTGGCTGTGGAATCCTACGTGGCACAGCACGGCCCGCAATTGGGGCCCGCATAAATCTGGGCTCATTTTACATTGTAGGCACCCCAGTGGCAGTGGGCCTAGCCTTTTTGCTAAATTTGGGATTCCCAGGGCTCTGGTTTGGACTACTGTCCGCCCAAGTGGCTTGCGCTGTGTCTATTCTGTGTGTTGTGTTGCTCCATACAGATTGGGAAGCTGAGGCATTGAAATCTAAGAAGCTAACCAGCATGGAAATGAGCTCATGCATTAATGGGGCAGAAGAGAATGGATATGAAACAGATGAAGAGAGTCGAGGGTTTTTGGCAAATGGAAATGATAAAATAGATGTTTTGTAAAGGGGAAAGGGCAGGGTGGGTCGGTTAAGGGATATGAACTGGTGCTTAGCTTTATGGTTGTCGTCTAGTTGCTTTTTGGGGAGGTATCTGACTCATGTTTGATCTTTCTGTTCTTTTTGTGTTTGCTTTAATTTGTTTTTCGGGGTTTAGCCATTGGAGAACCTATTCTTGGGTTCTGTTGTGTAGCCAGAAGGACTGTAACTCCCCATACACTTTGTTAAATATTTTATTGATAGCTGCTACTACTTTTAGAGTTGCCTTGTGTTTCTTTTTTAATTAAATTGTGGTACTTGTTTTGGAGAGGCTTGTGGGGAAAGCACCAAAATAGTGGTAGGAGTTGATGTGGCTGCAAGTTTGTCGGTTACGGTACGATATGTGTCGATGTACGAAAGCAACTTCTTTATTGTGCCGGACCTTTGATTTGATCTGATGTACCTTTGCTACACGCTCCGTTTATTTCATAAAAATTAATATTTAAAAAATATTATATATTTTAAAAAATTAAAAATTTCTATTATTTAGATGAATTAATAAAAAATATTTTTTATTGTTTGATTATTTTTTAAAAATTTATTTTTTAAAAAATATTATTATAATTGTTAAAATATTAAAAATTATTTTTTATTAAAGTATATTAAAATTATTTATTATTAAAATTATTAATATTAAACAACAATTATATTTAATCGTGTTTAATATTAAAATAATTTATTAATATAAAAATGATTTAAATAATATTTTTATTTTTATATTAATATTTAAAAATATTTAAAATAATATTACTATTATTTAAAATATTATTTTTATTAATATTAAAATATTCATATTTTTAAAAGTATCTATAATTAAATCATAATAAAAATATTTTTTATTTATATTTCTTATTAAAATAATAATTAAATACCATTATAAATAAATATAAAATCATATACTTTAGACTTATAAAAATATTCATATTAAAAAAATATTATTTTATTATTTAAAATTAATTATTAAATAATAAAATAATTTAAATATTATATTATTTATTATTAAAATAATAATATAATATTCGATCATACTTAATAAAAAATATTGACGATTATTTTTAAGCTGTTTAGTTGGAAAAAAAAAAAAGGCAATTATCCAATTAGATATCGACAAGGCATCAATAAACATAGCTTTTCCGAATGGCATATTTGCATAAAGTTCACAAATCAGTAACAAATCCAAAAGTTAAAAACAAAAAATTCCACATTTCTTACTCTAATAAACGATAACAGAGTACAATAGATTCTAGGGTGAGACTGAAACAAACAAATCTTGGGTCACTGTCAGCCAGGGGAACAACAGCTGCAATCATAGGGACTCATGTTGCAGCAGCATTCACAGTTGCTGTAGGGAATAATAAAATAATAATAACAACAGAGAAAATTGAAAGTAAACCTATTTAAAGTCTATCTATTCGTCCGTCCTTTCAAATTTTAAAAAGATTTAAATAAAAATTTAAAATCAATTAAATAAATTTAAATATAATCTTTAGGTTTATTGAAATTTTGAATAAGTTTTGAATAAAAAATTAAAATTTAAATCTGATTCAATTTTATTTGAATAAAATATATAATTAAAATATTATAATTATATAAATATAAAATTTTTTATTTTTTATTATTTTTAAAAAATATTTTAAAAAATTTTTATTATATAAATTAAATTTAATAAATAAATTTAAATTTAAATTTTTTATTTAAATTAAACTTAAAAAAATTTAATATTCAAAACATCAAACTAAATTTAAATTACTATATCACTATTAATTTCATATATAAATTCAATATGAATTCGAACAAGCCTAACCTATAATCACCTATAAAAGAGTTGTGCTTTTGTTTTCTTTTTTAAGATTTTTTTACTTATATGGCATCAGGATATGGAAGCAGCAAAGTAGTGGATGGGGATGATCAGTGGTTTGGGTGTTACTTTATGCAGGCCCTGGTGGGATGTGACGTTTGAGTTCAGGCTTTGGGTTAGTGCTGAGGCAGGGAGCTCCAAAATCTCTTTGCTTGTTGTCTAACTGTTTCAAATGATGAAAGAGAACTTGGAGCAGCTGGCACAGTTTCAATGGAAAATCATGTCGTGGGCTGTCCTTTTCAGCCTGCTTATTCGGTGCCCCATCACTGCTAATGCCTACTGGATTTTATTCGTGATCTCAAATTTTTTAGTATATTTTTTTAGCCTTTTTTTTGTTCAATTTCATTTCAAATAACACATCAACAAAAATCATGATTTAATAGTCTCTCTTCTCGTTCATGTAATCTTACTAATTGAACCCCAAAGTATAGAATTAAGATTAGATTACGAATTTGAAGGATAGATGTGCTTTAGAAATGAAATTACCATTGCCAAATCTATTCAACGTAAGGAACAACCTTGTACACTTGTTTTTGTTCAATGCATTAGGTTTTTTTTAAATGATGGGTAGAAATCTTTTTTATTACATCATTAGTTTGTTTTGAGGTTGAATTTTTATGAATTAAATGATAAAATAATATGGTGATGCAATGATAATTTTAGACTGCACTTGTCTTATTAAAAAAATTATGTTTTAAAATTATATTTCCTCCGTTTTTATTTATTTATCTTATAATTGTTATGAAATTTTTTTAAAAAAAATTAATTTTAATCTATTTAATATTAAAATTAAAATTTCATAGTTTTTAATATTAAAAAATAAAAGTATTAAATGTTCAAAAAAATAAAACATAAGTTTGAGACATTTCTAAAAAAAAAAGAGAAAATAAAAAAATTAAACAAAAAAAATTGTAAAATCTTGTTTTAGAGAAAAAAAAAAATCAACCCTTCTCTCTCTTCGAATTGATTTCTCCACCAAAATCAATGAAAATTATTGATTGATGACATTGTTCATAAAGATTGCAAAGGCAATATATAAAGTTATATAAAATAAATAAAACACATGTAAATATAAGTTTTATTAAGAATTTTTTCAGGTTAAATGATTTTTTAGAAAAAATTACATCTTTTCCTCATCAATATAATTGCTATCCAAAATTTTTAGACCAATAATAATATGATTTTAATTATTTCATAAATTAAAAATTAATTTTATATGTGACATTACAAGTATCATGTTTCTATTAAAAAAAAAAAAGCCAATTCAACACTTTTGACTAACCATCCATTAATGTTATTAATTGATTGCTCTCTTTTCTAAATTTAAATATTAAATTGAACATTTGATTATCTTCGAAAAATATTTTTTATTGTGAACTCCAAAAAAAAAAAACAACCATGATTTTATCAATAACATATTAAAAAGAAAAGACGTTTAAGCATTTGATTTAATAATTAGTGTATAATTTTTTGTGTGAAAAGAGTAACATTCAAATCTCGTATTTCTTAAAAAAAAAAAAAAAAAACAGTGCTAGACACTAATAATACACTCATCTATTTTCAAGATTTATTTAAGGGACTTATGTGAAAAGTATTAAAATTTTTATAGATTATAATAAAAATTTTAAAATAATGTAAATATATGAAATAAGGGCATTAAACGAGTACATAGAACCTTTTAAAACAAATGCTACAAGGACCAAATTGAGTGGAAGACAGAAAATGAATACTAATAGAAACAAGAACAGATGTTCTTACATTTTACAACCAATGTCAATATTGCAAAGTGGTTGGCTCATTTTTAGACAGAAACAGCACAAGGCTTTACCAATAGTTCAAAAATAAAATAGAGAGAAGCTTTCGTCTTTTTCTTTCCAAGCGCAAATATCATCTTGACCAATAAAATAGAAAAGTAAGCACAAGAGCCAAAACCTTTTTACATGCGCATCTATTCTCAACTATATTAAAAAACTGTGGAAATTCCACTTTATGATTCTTAGGAAAAAAGAAAAAAACATATTGAGGTTTCATTTTCATGTCATGGTTACATGTGCAAAAAGACAAACAAACGAGCCAAATGTAGTTCCTCTTGTTTTTATAAACGAATGCTAATTAATGGCTTTGGTTTTTTGTCTGTGTCAAAACTGTTTTTCACGAGGGTAGAAACTTAAAATTATAAAGTAGAAGATCCGTTAATAATAAATATTGAAAATTTCTTTTTGATATTTATACTCTAATGCTTAAATCAGTGTTTGAAAAAAAAAAAAAAAACTTTTAAGTAAATGTATATGGAATTTGTTTAATAGTACTTAAAAGGGAATTATTTATGTTGTAAGTGCCGGATCTTGATGATTTGAGTTCCAAGTGACAAAGTTAGGATTATTGATGTTGTTTGGCCTAACGTAAGCTAATAGTCAAAAACTTAATTGAGAGGTAACAAATTAATATTTTTACATATCATCAAATAATCAATTAAAATAATCGAATTGATGTGAATTTTTAAATTTTAAATTAACTTGACATATCAGCTCATATCGAAAGGTTCGAATTGCCCTGTCTAGTTGATGACTCATACTCTAAAACGAAATATCTATTTTGTCCCTTCGAACATAAGATGCCCCTAATAGTTTTGCTTTTTCATGTCTGCTGCGTATTCCTTTGGTTGGGCTTTGATGGGTTCCCTACCTCAATTCGGTGAGGATCTGTGGGTGCCACTGGTTCCCAAAGAATAGCATATCATGAAAGTTAAGGCCGGAGGAGCCGAGGGTGGAGAAGCCCCAAAGGGGGGGCCTGTGCTGGGCTCCTGGCCCTTCTCGGATATTAGAGCAGCTCAAAAATGGAGGACAGTATCCGCAAAATCCCGAAGATGACTCCCAAATCCCAACAAGCATTTTGGGCACCATGAAACTCCCGTCAAGATCAATTGATGGTCACCAACAACTTTAGAAAGAAACAAATGTGGATAAATATGATGAAGAAGATCGTCATCATCATCATCATCAGCCAGGCACAGGTCCTAATAATTCCATAATTTCCTTGCCTACTTGTTGTAATGTGGGCTGTCAACTGAGGTTTAAGGAGCACCTCAAAGTTGACATGCATATCATACC